TTAGATTTCAATTAATTTGAGGGCATATGTAAAATTAAATAAAATTAATAAATAATACATGCTTCAAATGGTCACAAGACATTACTTAAGACCAACAAGTCACATGACAGGTGCACGATCAACTTTGCATGTTCCATCCTTTGGTCCTTTACTTATTGGCTTGACAGACAAATTATCTTGACTCGTCTTTTGCTTCGATTTGTTATGCTTAGTTTTGAACAAAATTGAATGGACAAATCACTATATTAATTAGGCATATATAGTGCTTGATGAATATTGCAATTGCTTTTAAATTCTTTTTATAATGGTCAAAGATTTGACAAGAATTTCCTTTGAAAACATAGATTTTCAAAAATATTTAAATTGCTTTGATGTTTTCATAATTTAGTCACCAAATAATTATATTTTTGTGAATTCTATTAAAGTCATATTAGTTCTTATATTAAGTTAATATTTGCCACATTTGTCAAGTTTTGGCCGACAATAAGTGCAGTAAATTTATATAAGAGTACCATATAAAAATGATCCTAAGTGCAGTAAATTTATGTCAGAGTACTATATAAAAATGGTGTTAGTTATTAGGATAGACTTCTCTCAAATTCCCTAAGGCTCAAAAGGAATCTCACTGATGACCCTGTGCGTGTGAGATGCAAGGCCGTTAATGAAAACACAATCCATATTTTGAGGGACTGTCCAAAAGCTGATCTTGTTTGGAGATCATTTCTACACAGAAAAATGCCCTCCAACAGGATCAATCCTTGGACCTTCAAAATTGGCTCATTAAAAATTATAAAGCTAGAGAGGACATTTTTTGGAGAGATGTGAAATGGCTTATTCTTTTTGCTTCACCGATATGGAATATTTGGAAAGATAGAAACTAAGAATGCTTGGATAACATAAAGAATCCCCCTATATTATTGCTAAGAAAGCTTGGAGAATGGCACGGGACTCATGGGATGCTTTCAATGAACCCCTTTCCCACGGGATTTTCAATCCCGCTGAACTAATAGGTTGGTCTTTTCCTCCTATTGGATGGATGAAGATGAATGTTGATGGTAGCTCCAAAGGGAATCCTGACCCAGCTACAATAGGAGGGCTGCTGAGGAACGATCAAGGAAGATGACAACTAGGTTTCTATGGGAAGCTTAAGGACTCCACTAGCCTACAAGCTGAACTATGAGTTATCTTTCAAGGTCTTAAGATAATTCAAACACAAAACTTGAAGAAGGTGATCATGAAAACGGATTATTTGGAAGTACTCAACCTAATTAGTGCTAGGTTGAAAGATTTACACCCCCAAAGGAATAACATTGCTAATTGGAAGTACATTATGGGATTGACTAAAACTCCCATTCTTCATATTTTGAGAGAAGGAAAATTTTGCGTTAATAAGATGACAAGTCTGGAAGGATATCAACAAAATCTTTTTGTGTTTTTTGAAATTCCACCACTTGTGTTGGAACAGTACCTTTTCAATAATCTTTCATGTACTTCGTTTGCTAGATGGTTTAAATAACCTTGTTTACTTTTCCAGTGTACCAGAAAAAAGAAGTGTCTTTACAGACAGACATTAGAGATATGCAGTGTATATAATTTACAAATACTACTGGGGTCTTCCTGTAATTTAATATATTTTAAGAACTGGTTCATGGGCCTCACCGCGCGAGAATATCCAAACAGTTCCTATCACTAGCACTCTCAGCATCTGTCTCTGGCACTGTCGTGTTCCCTTTGACCCCCGAATCTCCGATTGCGCCATCATAGCAACAAAATCATCAAAAAGACACAAGCCTCGGAGACATCGCCCCAATAATTTTGAAGGTTCTATCCTAGATTTTTTAAATTCGACATAGATTCTGCGTCTTGGATAACAACAACTATTCAAAACAATCATAAAACTTTGTGTTTAATCTTGAAATTCTGTATATAATTGTATGCGTTTTATGCAACATTTCGCTGAATCGAATTATGCGAAGAAACGATAACTTATCAATGGTTTTATTGATAATCTTAGGGTTTCTGTGTTATTGTTGTGAAAGAGGGCTTTCGGTTACAGTGACATATGATCATAGGGCACTGGTTATTGATGGGAAGAGGCGGGTTTTGCAATCTGGATCGATCCATTATCCGCGAAGCACGCCTGAAGTGAGTTTAAATTGGGGTGCTTTTATTGGTGGTGATATTTTTGATTTATTTTGTTTGTTGGTGTGATAGTGTGGGTTATTGTTGCGGTGAATCTTTTAGGTGTGGCCAGAACTCATCAGGAAATCGAAGGAAGGAGGATTGGACGTGATTGAGACATACGTTTTTTGGAACTATCATGAGCCTGTGAGAGGACAGGTACAAAGTTATGCTATAATGTAAATGCTGTATAAAACTTTTGGGCAGTGGACTTGCTCATGATCATTACCTTCAACAGTATTTTGATTATCATTATTTTTTAAAATATTGTAGTACTACTTCGAGGACAGGTTTGACCTGGTTCGATTCGTGAAGACAGTGCAGGAAGCGGGCCTTTTTGTGCATCTGAGGATTGGGCCATATGTTTGTGCTGAATGGAATTACGGGTCTGTTCAAATTTATTCAATCTTCTTATCATGCAGTTTCACGTCCTCATTATTCTGGGTTTTTAGGAGCATTAGACTTCACATTGTGTCAAAGAATGCATTTGTATCAGTTTAGTGATTTGGTTTGCTTTGTCCTGTAAACAAGATAGGGTTGTTTGACCACCTTAGCAATTTACCCTAGAAAAAATTACAGTTTGCTCCCGTCTACAGCATAATAAATCATAAGATCTTATCTTTCTTCCAAAATGTACTTTGTTCTTAATTCTTTAGTTTTCATTATTTTCTTTCATTTTTATTTTTGAACAGGGGATTTCCTATGTGGTTACACTTCATTCCTGGCATCCAGTTCAGGACAACAAATGATCCTTTTAAGGTCTACTTTGAAATCCAAAACTGTTATGCTTGTTTATGAGAATTGATTTCAAAATAGTTAAGTTGTCCATGTTTATTCCACATTGATTGTTTGTGGAAACAGATTGATAACATTGTTGGCTTGGATATGCGAATTTCATACTGCTGGTAAGTTTGTATTTTGTCCGTGCAGGAAGAAATGGAGCGTTTTCTAGCAAAAATTGTTAATCTAATGAAGGAGGAGAATCTATTTGTATCGCAAGGAGGGCCAATCATTCTTGCACAGGTGATTTATCTGTACCTGTTAGCTCGTGTTGATATGAAAAATCTTGTTACAAAGTTTTGAATGTTGCCTGTTGATTTCCCAGTGTTTTTTTGTGCATGAACTCTTGGTGTTCGTGATCTATCATGCAGGGGTGGCCCAAGACATTTTGAGGCCTAAAGCGGAAATAATAAATGAGGCTTTTTATTTTTTATAGTAATAATAAATTTAATTTTTAATTTTTTGAAATGCAAATATCTTAATGAAGTTTTTATATTCAAGCTTTTGTTACAATATTTGAACTTCATATATATATATATATATAGAGAGAGAGAGAGAGAGAGAGAGAGAGAGAGAATGATTGAAAAATTATGATGGTATGGGAAGTTTGAACTTGATTTTTTTTTAGGACAATAGCTTTAGTTTTGCGATTAGCATTTTTCTTACAAAAAATTGAATTTTAAGGCCTTTTAATTTCATGGGCTAAATTAATAGGTCCTATCTACTCAAGTTGAAATCTATTATTTGGATTTAAATCTAAATTTTTTGTGGGACCTATTTCTTATGGATTCAGGTTTTTTGCTTGGACTATTATTACACATCTATAAATTATGAGGCCTTTCTTAAATTGGGCCTAAATCCTAGACTTTATTGGCCTAATGATTGGGGTGGCCCTACTATCATGTTATCCATACTTAAATTGTATATAGAACGAGTGTTTAATTGTGTCATGCCATGTTTAATCAAGTGTTATTTCAGGTTTGTGTCGGGTATTATTCAATCTTAACTGAACATGTTTAATAAACTTTTCCAGATGACTTGACATTAACCTTACTTCTTTACTATTCGTGTCACAAAATTCCACCCCTATTATAAAGAATGGACTTGGATGCATAATCTAAGTATGAAATGATATAGACCAAATCATTCGTAATGCTTGAAAAGTAAAATGTAGATATGATGGGATTTCTAAAAAAACAAAATGTAGATATGATGGGACAAGTAAATGAATATCTGTACATAGGTAATTGTGTGGCTAGCACACATTTATTCGAATGTTATGACAAGGAATCAACTTATATAACACACGCAATCCAAATCACTTATAAATGTTTACTGTATCAAAAAACTTTTAATTTACCAATGCACCTTTATCAAATAACTCAACGACTTACTATCCTTTAATAACTCTAAAAAGATATAATATCTATCTAATATTATTGCTAGCAATTGGAATTGCACATTTATAAAAGTACAACAATGATTGAGAGTAATCCAATCTTCATCTAATTTTAGACAATCCAACTAACATGCTCCCAGAGCCGGACAATCCCACTAATATACACCTACCCCCTAATATACCTCTCTAATATACCTCTCTCTTATTTTCTCTATGTCTGCTCTAATTTTAAATTATGAAATTAAAACAAAGAAAGAAAAAAAAATTGTTATTCACAATATAAATGTTGCATGATCACTGCTTGCCTTTTGGTACTACAAAGTGTCTTTGGCCATGGGGATATTGTTATTATTTAAGAACTCAAAAACATGAATATCATTTTATTTATTTTTATCTCAATTCACACAAGCACACACACATTATATATATATAATTAAAACAAAAAATGACAAATAATAAAATAAAAAGTTTGACATGTCAAGATGTTTTGAAAAACATTTTTATCAATATATTACCTTAAAGACTACATTAAGACAACACTACCCTTCTAAATTGAAACATTGATGGTAAATTTTGTGTTTTCTTTATTATTACTAGATTTATCTTGTATGACTTTTTTTAGTCATAAAACATGACATTGATGATCCATGTCATTTTGCTTCTGAGAAATGAGATGTCATTTTGCTTTTGGTAAATGAGATGTCATTGAACTTAATTACACATATGCGTTATGTTCTTTTTATGAATTTTATTACCCAAATATTTCTATATGCATTGCATGTGGTGCGCTGTTAATATTCCAAATGTCTATTTGCGTTGCCCAGACATTATTTTTGGGAAATGGTCGATCATTTTGATCCCCATAAAGGGTTTCTCAAAAAAGTAAGGAAGTGGGCATTTGAAAGGCCGACCACAATATCTTAGTCATTCTGGGGAATGCTGATCTGTTTGAGACTCCTCTTAATGCGTTGGACGGATGGTGCTTCTTTGCGCCTCCCTTTTGAGAGGTGATCTACCAAACCTTTTTCATCCCAGGTGTCTTTGTTGGAATGGTTTTGATTGCTATACAGGATCCTTTCAGGCTTCAAAATTTTGTCTTACAAATGCAACATAAACCCATTGTTATAGAGGGGGATATGTAGCAGGTGATAGATTGTCTTTGAAGTTTTAGTTTCTGTGTTTAACAGCTATTCTTTAGGGATTTTAGCTTAGTTCGATTAGCAAAACTCTCGTTCATTGATGCTCTTCCTCTCTCTGTTTCTCTGTCACCCATCCTTCTCCTCCTCGTCCCCTTCCCACCTTTCCCTTTCTTTTCCCCTTACTCTTGCACACGCACACACCCACACCCACACATCAATCTTTGAGTTTGTGTGCTATGCCTTGTCCTCAATCTAATTTGTTGACTGCATTCCAAGAAAAACACCAATTAGAATTTTCCAACTCCAAAATCCTTTAAGTTAGCCTTATCCTTTTCCACAGCCGTAACCCACATTTCTTTTGTCCTTCCCCTTGTTCTTTGTGATAGCTTGACCAAATGACTCCTCTGCATCGATGCATTAGTCAGTTACATTATCTTTGATAACTTTTCTGTTATAGTACCTTAGTATTAGGGTAGTTTAGCCATTTTCCAGGATGGTTTTACCCGTTTCTATTATGTTATTATTATTATTAGCCTGTAGCAGACTTATTGAGCCGCACTTGTATATTTCCTTTTCATTTCATTCTCTCTTTTGTAGTAGATATTTACATTTTACTCTTCTTATTGTTACTAAGATCACTCCTAAGTTCTCACAGATGAAACTTTTTTCTTATTCTATGTTTTCTTGTATTTCGAGTTGGTCACTTATTCATCTCAACATTCTTGTTCAGCACGTGTTTGACATTCCATGCCATAAAGCTCAGTTAGCCTACTAGCTGTCTTTAAATCCTTTACTTTGCAGGAATTTCACGATAAAACACAGACTGACCATGTACTCCTTTTTCATCATACGGTAGTTCTATTCGTGTACTCCAGTCTCATCATACTTTAGTTTTATTTGTATTGTATTGACATTTCAGTTACTCTCTCTTCCATTGGAAGTAATCATTTGAAAATAATTTGAGTGGTTGCTTTTATATATTTCTTGGCCATCTACTTTTATTTTATCATTATTTCTGTTTCTAATTTGCTAAAACGACACTATTTTTAAATCTTTATCTTGGTTAGCCTAGAATTCTAGTTCTAATACCTTAAACTTAATCATTGGTCTAAACTTGTAAACCTGTTAGATTGCTGCTGGTTGATTCAATCACTTGGATGAAGGAATTTACTGTCATGGAAAGTTTAGAATTATTGTAGCATTGCAAAGATACCGACATATTTGAACAATAATTGATGTTAATGTCCAACTTAGGGAGTGTTATACATGCTTGAGAAAATTTGAATTGGCAACTTAGTTGTCCTAGCAGTCATTGTCCGACTCATTGTTTTATTTTGAGAGCCTTGGGGGGTGCCTTGTCCCAGTTATAGACCTTCTCTTGTATAGTCTTATGAGAGCATTGTTTCATTCACTCACTCTGTCAAGGATCTTGTCCTGTAGTCTAGCTTTTTCCCTTTCATAGTATAAGTAGGAATCACCAAACTACGCTATAGATAATGTTAGGGTAAATGCTGAAGGTTTATACAAATTCATAATCAGTTAATCCTGTTTGACTCATCCCTGGTTTATGCTGTAACAGGTTGAGAATGAATATGGAGGTGTTCAATGGGCCTATGGAGTTGGTGGAGAGTTGTATGTGAAATGGGCTGCTGAAACTGCTGTCAGTCTAAATACTGGTGTTCCGTGGGTAATGTGTGTGCAGGAAGATGCACCTGACCCAATTGTAAGTATTTATCGACATTAGTGGAACTGAATCATTTCTTTCTGATTTTTATTTTTCTAAATAAAAATGGATCTAATTTATCTCATATCAGAAGCATCACATGTTATGATGCCAAACTCTCTAATCAGGAAGTTCTGACAGAGAGAAAATAAGATAAATGGAAAGAGAAAGAGAGAGAAAGAGAAAGGCAAGAAAGAAGAAAAATCACTGGAGAGAAGAAAAAAGAGAGAGACATGAGTTTCGAGAGAGTAAAGAGGAGATGAGAGGAAGAAAAAAGACTAATCTTGCAAAAGTTTCCTGTAGCTAAACCTAATTCATTCACATCTACTGTTAATAGGTAGCCCCACATTCCGATATCTAACAGTATCTGGAGGAAGACAAATTGTCTTATTAAATTGTTTTTCGTCATAATCTCTTATACTTGACAACTGTACTTCTGACATCTTTTTTTTGAAAATATAACTTTGTTCTCTATTTCTCTAATTAGAGATAACATTTAATGTTGTAGATAAATACATGCAATGGGTTTTATTGTGATCAGTTCACTCCAAATTCCCATTCCAAGCCAAAGATGTGGACTGAGAACTACAGTGGATGGTAAAAATATATTTTGGTTCAGCCTTTGAAAAATAATTCTGGAGCACTAGCATGTGCTTCATCAAAGAAATGTGAATTTGTAAAAACGTCTTGTTTGATATTGCAGGTTCCTTGCATTTGGTTATCCAATTCCTTACCGACCAGTTGAGGACCTTGCCTTTGCTGTTGCACGTTTTTTTGAAACAGGTGGCACATTTCAGAACTATTATATGGTGAGCCTTGTGAAGTTTTTCCTTTCACTTATTGTAATTTTAATTTGGTAAACATAATCCCCACGATTTACTTCTGATATCTCCTTGCAGTATTTTGGTGGCACCAACTTTGGACGAACTATGGGTGGCCCAATGGTTGCAACAAGCTATGACTATGATGCTCCAATAGATGAGTATGGTAAATTTTCCTGACATTTTGTTTAACACACCTGCTATTTTAATGAGAATGGTATGCATGGATAGGATCACACTTTTGTATTTTGAAAACGCACTTTATAGTGAAAAGCATGCGTGTGTTTTATAAAAACTACATTATATTGGGAAATACATTTGGAACTCTTTAAAAGGGAATTGACTCAATTGAGTTTGAAAATCACGGAAGCTTTGAAATTGAGTCAAGATTGGGGTGTTTGATGGGCACAAAAGGGAGCCCTCTCAATGGGTGACTATACTTTTGAAAAAAATGTTCATCCCCATATCTATCTTAGGTTTAGGAATTGGTAGCCATGCTTGTTTTTTATCATCCAAAGACTCCATTCTTTCTTTTTTCTTAACCTAAACTACCATAAAATCTCCCTCTCTCTCTCTCTCTCTCTCTCAAACAATACCCTTGCGGCCTTGCCCAAATTACCTAGTCACAGCCCGACCTCCACGCCTATCTCCACCACCACCTCCCAAAACCAATTGCGAGTCTAGAACACATCAACCCACTAAAGCCACCATAGCCACCCAACTCTAAAACGAAACCACTCTGGACCCTCTCCACTATTTGTTTCGATGTGTATATATCATCTCGTATCTAACTAAACCTTTTCTCTTCTTTCAGGCAATTTGGTGGGTTCGCTCTCGCCCCCTCTCTCTTTCTCTCTTTCTTTGTTGTGTGCACGTTTTTTTTGATTACATTTATTTTGGTGGGTTTGCATTTCTTTTTCTCTCACTCTTTATATGTAGGTATGTAGTTGTTTGCAATCGGATGGTGCAATGGGTGGAGATGGTGGTTATAGTGGTACCAGTGAAGCTGTTGTGTGGGTAACTTTTTTTGGTTGGGGGGTGGGTGGTGAGTTTTGACGATTTGTGGTGCTAGAGAGAATCAAGATGGAAGGAAGGAATAGAAATGTGGGGGTGGGGTTTCTGGGGTATTAGAACTCTGATGTGAGGCAAGGAGTGGCGGTTGGAGGTTGGGAGGAGGGACAATGCTAGGGGTTTGGGTGGGAATCAAATTGTTGAACTTTGGGAAGAGATTCAATATTTCAATTTGGAAACCTTTCCCTAGAGAGGACACATTATCTAATTGGCTGGTTGACTTCAAAACTGATGCAAAAATTGATGCGAATTTGATGACCGGAAATATATGCAGGTTTTATAAGACAACCAAAGTGGGGCCACCTCCGAGACTTACACATGGCAATAAAGCAGTGTGAAGAATATTTGGTGAATGCGGACCCAATTCAACAAACACTTGGTGTGAATCTAGAGGTGTGCATGAAGTTTTAACATGCTTCTTTTTAATTAATATGTGTGTGGTCTGTCCTTGGTGAATGCTCATATTAAGATCTAGTTTTGTGTGGTATTTTAAAAGGAAAAAGTTTGGATGTTTTGTAGGTGGATGAGACCAGTTTGTACTTGGTAAAATATAAAAAATTTATAAAAGGAAGTAAAGATCATTACAGCACAAATTGTTTAATAACAATCTGATACCTCTTACATGTTATCCCCAAACTTGATTTCTGTATCCTCTAACGCAAACATTATCCCACTCCAAACTTTGCACTTTGCTGATTCATTTCTCTGTTTACAGTTATGTTTTAAGACTAACAATTTGGGACCAACATTGATAAATTATATTGTATACAACAAGAATAAAATCATCTTTGAAAGTTTAGTTATGTGCTGAACACCACTTTGGCGTGCCTGCTTTCATTTGGATTATCACATCATGATGGATGCCTAATGTCACTACTTTTGGCCATGGTGATTTGGCTTCAGACTTTTATTTGTGCTAGTTATCAAGTAATAATGTCATTTTAATTTGTTCTAAAATAAAAATTCTGGTAGTGCATTTGAGTGCTGTTCACTCTCATGGACTATCGTATGTTATCACGGGCATGAAATTAGTAAGTTAGCACTGAGCACCCTACCTGGTAATTTAGTGGCAGTTTTTTTTGGGACTTCCCTCATAGATTCCATCGTTTTGGAGCAATTGCCTTTTCAAAATGCCTAAAGTATTTTTGCTGAAAATACATACTGGATTATAACTCCATGTTGTTCTGTGACTACGAATTTTTCAGATTGCAAATGTGCCACTATTAACATGTTATTGAGGATATTAATTTGCTTATCAGGCACATATCTACTATAAGACCTCCAATGACTGTGCAGCCTTTCTTGCCAACTATGGCAGCAGTTCAGATGCAAATGTGACATTTAATGGAAATTCGTATTTCCTTCCTGCTTGGTCTGTGAGCATTCTTCCAGATTGTAGCAATGTCATATTTAACACAGCAAAGGTATGGTTTGTTATTGCTTTTGAATACACGCATAAATGATTTTACTGTCTATTGGCTGCTGAGCTCAGTTTAGAAGTTTGTTCCAATACTTATATATTCTCATATTATTGTGAAATCGGAGCATTAAGTTTTCTTCATAGACTGTTAGTTGGCTAAATTTTTGCAAATTGTCTGTTTGCAACTTAAAAGTATCCCTCTTCAATGTTTTTACAATATCACGGATGTTCTTAAGATCATTTGACAGCTTTATAAGTTCTATAGTTGGTGCGGTAAATTATGGTTTGAAAGAAGTTGATGCCAAAGCCAGTAAGACAAAAAAGAATATATCAATCATTCTGTGGATCTCTGTGACACTTCAGGGTGGGGCCAATAGCTGCATCAAGTTTATCATTGATGCCATAATGTTCTACTAGTCGTTTATCTGCAGAATCTTAGGCCATAAGCTTCACCTGAAGTGCTAAATGAATGCCAACTAGTTTTGCAATGTACATCTGCTCAAGGTTTTTTTTAAACAGATCCATGATGCATGCACTGTAGATCAAATTAGAACCATCTGTAATTTACCTAACTTTTCTTCACTTAGTGCAAGTCATTGAGAAGAATGACTTGTACAAGTGACTGACAAAAAATCCACTACATGATGTTATCTACGGATCATAAGCTGCACCTGTCTAAGGAGTTGCTGCAGTTGTTGAATTAACTGTATCAGCTCCTTCTTTTAGGAAATCTTATGGCTGAGGCTGACACTAAAAAGTAGGGCTGGGCATGGGCCTTATTGTGACAGATTCTTCTGGTCCAGGGCTAGCCCATGGATCATTGTTTTACACAATCTTAAATTGTAATACTTATTTTCTATATTTTTCCCTGCTTTAAAATTCAAATAATTTCTTAAATGCATCAACTATAGTAGATTTATACATATACTATTATATGATATGTAGAATGACTGTTCAGGCTCTGCCTGGCTAGTCTATAGGCCAATATTTTTTGGGTCTAGGTTCTGATTTTTCGGGGATGGGCTGGCATAGGCTGGTGGACTACCCACCCATGCTCACCTTAACTAGAAAGTGATATATCATTTTGTCTTTGTGGACCATGGAGAAAGGGGGCTCAATGATGAACACGTTGGTTTTCACCTGGTATGGTTACTGATGTTATGTTAGTAGTTAGTACCCCATTGCAATATAACTTGTGTCCAAATATCAGATAGTATCACTCGGCAGTTGACACTCTTTATGTTTTATTCACTTTAAAAGTATCATCTGACAGTTGCAATTGTGTTTGGAAGAGCTTCCCAGGCCTTATTCTCTCCCCTCCCTTACTTGTCCATTCATTTCCCTTGGATTTCACCTATTACTTATCTGATTGGCATTCCTTTGCATATATTGAGGTGAAGTCCTCTACTAGTACCCTATGAAGGAGAAAATAGATTGGCCTCATACTGTGCTCTCCACCATGACTGGTTGAGGACCGTATGTGTGAGCTACAGACAGTAGCTCATCTGGTGTTTTCTAGATTCTAGAAATGGTTCCAGTTTCTTACAAGTATTTCCTCATGTGATGTGAGGCTTAAACAAAGAAAACAAGCTTGGCTGTTATTGACTTCTAGTGTCTTGGATTCTGGCAGCTATGCTATTGTGCTAGTGGCTTGAGATAGCGGTCACAGTGTTATTTAAGGCGTTAAGCGAACCGAAGCGATCAAGGCTCTTAACGCCTAGGCGAGAAGCGAGAAGCGAAGCGAAACGATTTACCAAAGCGAAGCGAGCAGTTAAAAAAATAAATAAATATTTTAGTGTAATTACTTATACACATCAAAGTTTTAATTTTATATATACTAAATATTTAAATACAAGTAAAACCATAAACATTTAAAGTAAAACCATAAACATTTAAATTAAAATAAACACTAATAATATTGCAAATCTTAATAACAGTCATAGTTTAAACATTTAAATTCATACAAATACTAATAATATCCCAAATCCTAATATTTAAAAACATAAGACACATAATTCAAGCAACTAAAGCAAATATCTCAAGGACTTAGAAATCAATCCTCATCACTAAAGAAATCATCTTCTTCATTATCCTTAGATTCATATCCCTCAGTATCCTCCTCCTCTGCCTCATCTGAAATTATGTCTTCCTCATCTGTGAGTCCAGTCGTCGATCTTGTAAACCTTGGTGTTACCCTAGTAGATGGTATTGATCTAGTCCGTTGGCTACTTTCCGTAACTGCAGAAGCTCGAGCGACTTCGCCCCAAGTCAAAGTATCATCACCAAACACAAGCTCATTATCTTCATCTGTGTCTGCATCCATTCTCCCAATCAACCACTCATTGCTATCATCAATATCCTTCAAAGATATTGGATCAATTGTGTCACGAGAATCATATCGGCGCCTCAAAGCTCTATTATACTTAACAAACACCAAATCATTGAGACGGGATTGAGCTAGTCTATTTCTTTTTTTGGTGTGTATCTGCAATAATTTATTAACAATACATTAAAATTTATAATAAGATTAAAAAAAAATGTAATTGAAGAGGTTTGAGGATGATACTTACATGCTCAAACACACTCCAATTTCGCTCACAACCGGATGCACTACAAGTAAGGTTTAAAACTTTTTTTGCAAAGGTTTGCAAATTTGGAGTTGCAGACCCATATGCACTCCACCAATCAGCTGTGAATAATGAATAACAATTAATTAACTAACATATTTAAGCAATGATAATGAAATAAGCTTGTAGGATAACATAGATTACCTGGTGCCCTAGTTGTTCTTTGTCTAACCGCCATGGGCAACTTAAAGAGGTTTTCACCTTTCATGTAAATACTCAACTCTTGACCAATTTTATCTTGTATCGCAGGATTTGAGACCAACTTTTCCAAACATTTATATAGGCCATTCATGACTTCTTGATCTTTCTCAACCTCTGGATTGGAATAGAAAAACTCTGGGTTCAAAAAATACCCAGCTGCATGCAAAGGCCGATGCAATTGAACTTCCCACCTTCGGTCAATGATTTCAAATATGTGTTTGTACTTCTCTTCATTGCCATTAAAAGAATTAGCAATCGCTTCTTTAGCCCGGTCCATAGCTTCATAAATGTACCCCATGGGAGGCTTTTTCTCACCATCAACCAATCGAAGCACACGGACAAGAGGGCCAGTAAGCTTAAGAGAGTAGACAACATTACTCCAAAATGAAGGCATTAAAATGATTTGTGCTGTCCTTTTGCCTTGTTGTTCTTTTGCCCATTTGCTTGTAGTCCATTCCTCTGAAGTGAACATTTTTCTCAAGTTACCTTTTTGTTGGTTGATCCTTGTTAGCGTAAGAAAAGCCGTAGCAAATCTAGTTTTTACGGGCTTAATCAACTCCCTTGACTGGGTAAATCGTCTCATCATATTCAACAGAGTTGGACGGTTATAAATATAACCGTGTACTGCTATTCCTCTTTCAAATGTTCTCTTGAAGTTTGGCAATTTGAAGATATCTTCCAATACCAAGTCCAAGCAGTGGGCAGCACATGGCGTCCAATATAGATTTGGTCGTTTTGCCTCCAAAAACTTACCTATTAAATAAAGATTTTTTTACCAACTAGTGTGCATAAAAAAAATTCAACATAACAAGTAGTTATCTTTTTTTTTTTTTCAAGAAGCTCATACCTGCTAACACATTTGCTGCCGCATTATCAGTGACAATTTGAATCACATTAGCTTCACCAATACGCTCTACAAAATTATCAAGCAATTCAAACATTTTTTGCCCATCCTTTGAGTATGCAGAAGCATCAACAGATTCAAAGAACATGGTCCCTTTTGGACAATTCACTAAGAAATTAATCAAGGTTCTCCCTCTCTTGTCAGTCCATCCATCGGCCATTATGGAACATCCATATTTTGCCCAATCCTCTTGGTGATCTTTCATCAATGACTTTATATGCCCTACTTCTTTTTTGAGCAATGGGACCCGAACCTCATGGTAAGAAGGGGTTTCAAACCAGGACCATATTGTCCAAAAGTTTCAACCATTGCTGCAAAACTTTCATAGTTCACAACATTAAAGGGAATTCCCGTGTCATACATCCATCGGGCAAATGTTGTGATGGCTCTTTCTCTCATTTCCTTTCTAAAAGGATCGCTGGCATCAATATTCGTTTGTCTCCCCTTGGTCTTTCGATTTTGCACCACAACATTCGGATCAGGGGTGAAGTATACATCCATAGGCCCTTTTTGTCTTGGCTTTTTTGGTCTCGATGTGGCTTGTGTAGAACCTTGACTAGAACTAGTCATGGATCTTTTACGATTCGCAACAATCTCTACAATATCATCTTCATCCTCCTCCAAGTCATTAGGCATCTCATCAAAGTCGGAAACCATGTTCATTAGATTCTTCTCTTCCTTTTTTTTAGCCATGTATTCTCTAATCTCCTCCCTAACTTGAGTAGGGCATTTTGGACAAGTAATAACACTCGTAGAGTTCCCTGCTAGGTGTTGCTTGACCCGATAGACACCTCCATTTGACTCTTTTCCACAAAAATTGCATTTGAACTTGTTTGTGTTTTGAGGATTTACCAAGTGTGCATATTTCCATGCCGGATCTTTTTTGTTCCCTTCGGACGACGATGCCATTTATGAATAACACTATCACACTACAATCAAAGGAACAAAACACATTCACATGTACTGAATCACATTTTATATCAGTTGTAAACAATTTTATATTGACAGGACAGGACAACAAAAGAAGCAGAATCAGGACAACAGTAGAATGCAACAACAAAAAAAAAAACAGACGACTGAGGAAAAAAAAAATTGAAGCAGCACAGGAGCAATTTCATATTGACTGGACAGAAGCAGAATCAGGACAACAACACAGGCAAAAAGGCACTTGGCCTCCGCAAGAACTGCAAGCACAGAAAAGGCCCCAGGTTTACTTATGCAGGCAATAGGCCAAGAATAGGGAAGCAATACCATTCCATGTAAAACGTCAAGTATCACTGCCTGCATTCTAGTCCAAAATACCATTGCAAGAACAATTGAATCTGTATGTTAAATTTAGTTCACCTATAATGATCATATCATGTGAGAGTGAGATGCCATCAAAGCTTAATTAAATTGTATTTCGGACTGGAGTTTCATTCACAAATTTTTTTTTTTTTTTGTCTAGGCTTACATATGGTTTTAACTCACATTTTTATGGGATCTTCACATCGAATGGAGTTTGGACAGCAACATAAGGAAAAAGCAAAAAAAAAAAAACAGACGCATAATGAAAAAAAAAAAGAAGCACAATCGGAGCAGAATAGGGTAGAATCAGAGCAGGATAGGGTAGAATCAGATCAAGAAAAAAAAAAAAAAAAAAAAAAAACCAGAATCGGTGAAGGAGCAGAAGACAGAAGAAAAAAAATTGAAGAGAGAAGAAGAAGAGACTAACCTCCACAGTCCAGCCCTCCAAACCCTCAGTCCAGCAACAACAATGGTGTAGAAGTAGCGAAAACTCGAAGCCTTGGAGTGTAGCACTGGAGAACAGTACCGATCGTGTAGCAGTGGAGACCAGCAATGGAGAGCAGCACCAAATCGGTCGTGTAGCAGTGGAGAGGAGCACCGATCGATCGTGTAGCAGTGGAGAGCAGCACTGATCGAAGCAACATCGATCGAAGCAGTGGAGAGCAGCACCCGATCGTGTAGCAGTGGAGAGGCAGCACCGATTGAAGCACCGATTGAAGCTATCTGAGAAAAAATAAACAAAATTAGGTTAGGAGTTTTATTTATAGGATAAGGGAATAATTCGGTACATTAACATCTTAAAATTTTTTTTGCAATCGCCCAATCCTACGGTCTAAATTAAAAATAAAATATTTCGCCTCGCATAACAAAAGCGATCGCTTTTTCGCTTTTTTCGCTTCTTCGCTTTTTCGCTTTTTCTCGCTTTTTTCTCGCCTCACTCACGTTCGCTTCGCCTGGGTTCCTCCAGGCGAGCAAGTCTCGCCTCGCCTCGCTTCTCGCCTAGGCGAGCGCCTAGGCGCGCTTTTCATAACACTGAGCGGTCACATAGGAATATCGGGGTGCTTGATTTAAAAATATTGGGTGGCCATATATAGGATGGATCCAGTTATTTCGGGGTCTGTTTCTTGAGTTTTGGCTTCAGTGGGCGTGTGTTGGAAATCAGAAACTTGAAGCGGGTGATGCTCCGGCCTTAATCAGCTTGTTTTTACTGCTGGAGCTTGGTTCTCCAGAACTGGCTGAGTGGCAATGGCTGTTGCAGCAACTGTGAGGAACCTGTGGGCCTAAAGACTGATCTCTTTCGCTGGTAACACATGGCTGTGCAGCTTCCACTAATGAGATGTTAACGTTTGTCTTGTATGTGGTGAAAGTTACATATTTGAAGATGGACAGAGTCTTTTGTTGGCTTGTCTTGTCTTTCCCACGCTATGAAGGTTGGTCCAATGAAGACCCACGCTGCTAGCCGTTGGGATTAATGGGTGAAGCACTTAGTGAGTTGGGCTGGATTTTAAGGGTGTAGGCTGGTGATCAGAATTCTAAATATCTATATTAGTGTTTGATGGATAAGGGTTCTGTAGGGGATTTGTTCCTCCAAGTCTTGTGGGAAGTGGGAAAAGTATTGTGTATCCTATTTCATTTGGGACGAGTTTATTTCTCTGTAGTTTCCGTGTTTTGAGCTCTTCTCTATTGAATTGCTCTGTGTACCCATTTGGAAGATTTTGAGCTATATTGTACATCTTTTTTGGGATAAAAAATTATTTGATCGCCGAAAAAATGTGACCCTATCTGTTCCAGCGATGCATGAGTCAACCTGATACCTTGTATCCATTGTGAAACGTAAGAAACTCCTTTTTTGTTGTGGCAAGATTGGAAGTTGATGTTAATTCATTCTCTCTTCCTTTGTTCATGTAAACTTAAAGGTTCTTGATGTTGGCTTAAATGTTGATACTTATGTAAAACTGCAATGTTATAAGAGTGGATTGCTTTTATAATACTCTTACTCCCTAATCTATGGGAATGTTGCTTTTCTCATCATTATAATTCCTGTGTTCTTTCTAGATAATGCCAAGATGTTTACGGTTTTTTATAGGGCATTTGATGAGTTAATTTTGCACATCAATTTGTTTGAACTGAGATTTGGTCTTGCCAACATTCTGCTGTATCAATGCGTGCTAATGTACTATGCTTAACAATAACCACATAAATCGTCTGTTCATCATATTTTCTTTATCGACTTGATAATTCCAAAAAAATTATAATCTTTTATTTTTGACATGGACCCAGCTTGCTTTGGGCATTCTAAATTTCTTCTTTACTCTGATTCTGGACAAAGGTGGTTTCTCAAAGAAGTCTTGGCGATGGTGCATTTGCTCGCAGTACAAGTGTCAGCGAGTTCTCATTGGCATCATCAACATGGAGTTGGTATAATGAAAAAGTGGGCGTGTGGGGTAGCAATGCATTTTCGGCATCAAGTTTACTAGAGCAGATAAATACAACCAAAGATACAAGCGATTTTCTGTGGTACACAACAAGGTAACTCCCTTGATAATGTGTGATTATACATTCATCTAGGCCTTTTGAAGACTCTTTCCCCCTTCTATCTAGGTGTTGATATGTATCAGTTTAAACCAATGTTAAGTTGTTAGAGCTAAGCCTCTATTGTTTAAGCTCTATGTCACTTTTCTTGGACAGTGGGATAAAGGAAAAATATGGACTCAGATAAGAAATTAGACGGGGCATTTTATGTCTTCATTTATTTTTATGTGTTGTTTCTCTTTATGAACTATTCTCCATGTTGGCTCTTATCTCATTGGTTCTCCTTTTTAAGTATATTTATCATTGTTCCAAGTCATTACTATTTGGTTTGATGGGAGATCTTTGCTTTTACCTTTTCTCCTGTTGTGGCAGCATAAATGTGAATGACAACAGTAATCATCTTCAAGCAAAAGAAGCCGTTTTGGTTATTGAGAGCTTGGGACATGCGGCTCTTGTTTTTGTTAACAAAATACTTGTGGGTAGGCACTCTTTCATATACCATGGAATGATGTTTAGCTCCTTTTTTACTTTTGTTGTTGTTTGCAAGTGGCTACTTTACTCTTGACATGTTCGAGTTAATTAATTGCTTAGTTTCTTTCTAAGAGATGTTTGGAAAATTTTTGAGTTTTAAGAGTGCTCAGGTGCAAGTTTGTATAGCTCAGATGAAATATGCATCAGAAGCTATAGTTGTGGTTTTGCCATTGCTTACTCCATCAGAATATAAAAACCACGAGTCAGTATTTCTTGGCCGAACCACTTAACACAAAACAAATTTATGCAGCTGTGCATCATGGATAGCTTAGGTTGGCATTGGTAATGATAATTCCTTACTATCTGCGATGCTCTTTGCTGAAGTCACTGAAAAAAGTTTTCTCATCGAATTTTGCTGTGATACCTGTGACGTCTTTGTACTTGGGAGTTTATCCTTCAAGCTTTAGATCTTTATGTAGTACTGTAGTTGTGTATTATACCAGCAATACCATTGTCATAACTGCAAAACGAACACATTATTGCTTTTTTTTTTTGGTTATTTTGCTATATGAGTAATAGAACAAACTTAGCTACTACTGTTACTAATACAGCTATATCCTTATTTTGGTTACTACCATAGTTGTTAAATCATGTATCAGAAGACGTATCGTTTTTTAAAAATAGTGTATCGTAATATATGCGCAATTTTAATTTTTAAATAATTATTAATAAAATATATGTATATATCTTTACAAAAAATCATAGACTCATAATAACATAGTATTTCATTAATATTCCACCAACTATTCAAGTTTCCAACATAGTTCAGTAATATCAAAATGCAAAGACCTCTAATTCAAACTTCTAACATCAACTGCTTGAACAACTTTAATATTAATTATGAATTTTGAATTTAATTGAACAACATTAACATTAGACTTTATTTAATTTTTTTAAACTATAACCACTGAAACAACGTTGTTTCACTAGTTAGTGATTTAAAAATAAATCTTAGAGTAAAATGATATCATTTCAACCCAAAAAAAAAAAAAAAAAAAAGTAAAACAGAATCGTGACGTATTGTACGTATTAGGTGTATTATATCGTATCATACGTATTGTGTATCGTACGATACGGTGCAAAAACGATACAGAGACGATACGGATTGTTTTTCAGGTGCATGGTGACGTATTGTACGATATTTATTGCGTATCATACGATACTAATAACTATGGTTACTAGTGTTATCATCTGGTTTCTTCTTTGTCAAAAAGGAAGGAAAATGTTATGATCTGTTTATCCTTATTTATGTTTTAATCACTCGCATTTATTCCATAAAGGAACATCAAATTATTTGTTTACCATGCAGAAGAAATAATGATCTCATAAACTTGAACTTGGTTTCAACTTTCCACAAAAAGAGACATGCATGTCCAGATGGGTGACATGTTTCTGCACTTGGTTGACATTCCATTTGTGCCACAGGCTGCATGATTACTTAGCTTCTAGGAAACCATTAAGGTAATAGATTGACAAACAAACTAGATGATTATGTGGTATATATTGACTTTGATTTCTAATAAAAAAAGAAAGAGAGAATGTTTTATGTAAAGCTTTTGAAGCAAAGTCTATAAGTTTTATTGCTCTATCTTTATCTTCTAATTCATCTTTCTTTTGCAATGTTATCCGGAAACTCTGGTAAGTGCCCTACCAATGTTTCTGACCAGAGTTAATTCCCAGCAATTGAGACTTTTTTATATTTTGGTTGGATTGGGATCATGCATTGCCTAGATAATAAAACTTTTGCTGCATATTTTTCTAGTATTTGCACTCTTCGACTCTGTGTTGGTGATATGTTTGTTTCCTAAAATTTTCTGTGTTTTTAATTGTATATTGCTGCGTGCTTAGGTAAACATGCACAAAACGAAACTCTCACATCCAGTTACGTCAAGTTTCTCAGGCTCCAAAGGAAAGGCTTAAAAGACGATATGTTTTTCCATTTAGCCATTCTATAAGCGCAATGCGTGGTGCTATAAATTATTTTACATCCAGTCATATTTGAGATGCTCATCTTGCTATGTGGACTAACATTTTATTAATTCATTTTTTTCAAAACTCTGAGTGAGGAGAGCTTATCCTACATCGGAAAATTAAGTAGACCTAAGGTTAGTTTATATGCTTGAAGGACTACTACACTCATTACATTTGGTTTTGGATTGGATATTCTAATATCGGATCAAAGCTGGACATTGGTCGGTTAGTGGGCTAAATCTCTTACCATTGAATTACCTGGTCTGTTTAGTTGTCTGTTTTTGTAATCCAATGTTTCTGTCTATCTGTTTTAGTTTGGTTTGTTAACCTGCGTGTGATTCCGGGTCGCACATGAGGGAGGGTGTGAAGAGAGTTTATCCCACCTCAGGAAGTTAGGTAGATCAAATGTTAGTTTATATACTTGAGGGGTATCCCACCCATTGCCAATTGGCGTTGTGTTGGAAGTTTTAGCACTCTAATACCAGTCACAATGGTTAACCATGTTAAGTTGAAACCAACGTACTAACCATATTAGTTGATGAGTATTTCATTTTTCTTCACTTGCTTATATTTTGACTTGTGATATCATAGATATCATCCTAGCTATGATTTTAATTTGTGAGTTCAGTAGTGTCACTTCAGTCACCTTTTTGCATTGTTGTGTCATTCTTGAGTGACACCATTAATTTTGTCCTATATAATTTATTGGTTTCTGCATCTTCACGTATACTATTATTGCATGTTTTCCAAATTCGACATGTTTGAATTAATTCCACTATCTTCTTGACTAACTCGTAAAATTCAAAATTAATTCAAGCCAATTTGCCATTGCTATTTCTGTTCTGTGCGTTTACAAAGATTGACAGCAGTCTACTTGGAATTTTTTGTAGGATTTGGTTATGGTAATCATGATGATGCAAGCTTCGAATTCAGTCAGAAAATTAATCTTAATCATGGTAACAACACATTGGATGTGTTGAGCATGGTGGTTGGTGTACAGGTAAAATAAAACCTTGACTTGTATGCAGCGCCTTAACTGGACCTATCTCTTCTCTTTACATAATTCATAGGTGATGCAAATTCGATTTGTGGGTTCAAGACTGCCTCTTTGTACTGTCTGCTATGTCTTATTTGCTGTCCTCACACACTCACACACACCCTCCAAAAAATAAAGGATAAAAGCTAAACTTGAATGTACCCATCCCTAGTTAAAAAATTCCAGTTTTATGTAGATAGAGTACCTATAATTTTTTGTGTCAATTTAAAAATAATTTGGGTGGCGGTCTCTCCAAGAAATTCTTTTCTGGTATGTTTTTGCTTTATCTATCATTTTTTTCCTAGCAAAAAATGTTGAAATAGTTACCACCACCAAATCGTGGAGGTAGAATAAGTTAATGTATATTGTGTATGGGTGGGTGAAAACAAATAAAATAAATAATTGAGTCACCAACATCCCCCACCCTCCAGGGGGGGAGAAAAAGAATTTTTCTGGCTTCGCCCCTGGCTATGGTACAAGTTCTGGCAGCACTTGCTCTTGTCTGTACTAGGGATTTCCACTTATCATTGTATGTGCATCATTCATAGGATTGTTCATTTCAATTACATAAACTAAGTGAGTGGTATATGCGGAGTCTCAATTTTTCATATGCTGTATTGTCTGGAATCTTGTGCTGTTTGCATGTCGACATTGGATAGATGATTAGACTGTTTGGAATGCCTAGGAGGTGGTTGCTATGTCTATACAAGTCCAGGGTCAAAAAACAAGACAAGTCCAGGGTCAAAAAAACAAGGACTTCCATTTTGTTTTAGTTTATTCTTGGGAGAATTATTATTTTGAATACATTTTAGATATCAAAATGTCGAATTGCAACAATTATGAATGACTGACAAGGTTGAAAATACGTTGGAAAGAAGGTACAAGGTTTCAATTTGTTCAAACATTTTTGTGCCGGTCAAGACAAGAATATATTTTATACAGGTCAAAAGTGGAGCCGAATCCCGTCTAGAATCTATGTTTGTATTGGTGTTTATATCTCATATGAACTAAAGTGATAATTAAAATAATGAGATGAAATTTTCAATGGTTTAGATTACTTTATGCTAAAATATTAAAGTACCACTATTTTGCTTTGTAAAATGATATGTTCACTGAGATCATGAGCAACTAACACGTGATGGTGTTTGCGAAACTAGAACATACAAGGTGGTTCTACTGGATTCCTAGTGGGCCACATACTTCAAAGTGTCATTTCACTTATTTTAAATGAGTAAACTCCCATTTTTTCAGCATTTGTTTTTTGTCAATTCTGCTTGTATGTTTTTTTCGGAAGGTAATTCTGCTTGTACGTTGTTGACTGGTGATTGTAGACTTGGAGAAATCAGAAATCTGTTGGTTCAGGTGGGGATTATGACAACCTTGAATAGACAAGCAGGTGCATGTATGTCAGTGTGCTTGTATGCGTATGTGTCATCTGCTTGATATACCATATCTTAACTCTAAGGCATGCATGAATATGAGGAGTCACTGTAAGTGAGACTTCCTCGCCGAGGATAGAAATCCTGGAAATTAGAAGCTTTTGTTTGCATTAGAAGCAGATTTAAAGAATCTTTTTTCAGGGGGAAATTGTTTTTTCTTACTGTAAAACCAAGCAACAACCTTCACCCCTATCTCTTTACTTCAAAATCACACTGAGAGGCAGGAATATTAGTAACATTTTCTGTTTGTTGTTGGCTTGACCCGTAACATTTAATTTATCAAAAGTCTGGGACTTTCATGTCTTATAATGCCCTTCAGCTGACAAGTAGGGAAACAATTAGATATAAAAGCATAAACTTTAATTTGGACAAGATGCTGTAAATGACCCACAGAGAATCAGATCACTTATACTTAACGGTGCATTTGATCGCTGATTGACCACTATACCTACTGAAATTTCAATCCATCTTGTTTAACCAAAGAATAAGGAATGAAGATTTGCCCGTAAACTAAATCTGGAAGTATTTTATCTCACACAGGAATATAACTAGATAAATTAAGAATGAGAAATTATCAGGAGTGACCTTTGTATAGACATAGCATAAGATTGGTAGAAGCAGCAGGGAATAGATTGAATTTGGTTTGCTGGTTTAAATGGTAAATAAATCAAAATGTGTTTTTACCGGTAAGCTTAGTCCTGCTTCGTTTAAACATGGAAGGAAGTGTTGTTCTTCAATCTTTCTGAAAATGAACACCTATGTTTCCAAAAAAATTCCTTCAATTAGATTGATGTTTCTGAAAATCTTTCTGGTCAAAGAAGCTTTATATGCTCTGCTTATTTGAGTTGCATGGTTTTAAATACTTCATTTTGTTCTATTATGTCAGCTTTCTAGCATGAGCTTTTTGCTTCAATGTGGATTGATATTTACTCACTTTATCATGTTCTTCCTCAGAACTATGGGGCATGGTTTGATATCCAAGGGGTAGGAATTTTTTCCGTCATTCTTGGTGATCTGAAGAATGCCAACCAAACTCTCTCTTCTACAGAATGGACGTATCAGGTTCTGACCCAGACTTTGATCAATAAATTGCAATCAAACATGTTATTCAACTGAACGCCATATATAAACCTAACTACTATAGGTCCGTATCCACTATCCAGTTTGGTCCCCTTTGAATTAGTGTTGGGAGGGATGGTCTAGCTATAGATTTAACCTTCAGCAGTATTGCACAGATTGGCTACCCTGAGATATGAACATTCAACCATTCAGTTGTTAGCCCAAGGATTTTATTACTTACTAGGAATTTTGACCCCAGATTAGGTGATATCATACTACTTAGTTCGGTACATCAAATTTGCTTCCACCATTTTGAAACTGATCCAAATTTATTTGGTGGCGCTTCCCCTATTTCTTACTTTTTTACCCAGAATGGCTATATAACACGCATTTATTAATGAGTTACATGTTATAGGAAAAAAAGGAAAGAAAATAACTCAATTACCTTGTCTATATCATTGAATATAATTTATTGAAGCCCATGCACATGGTCACCTGGAAATGTGCACTAACATGGCGCCTGATGAAGTTTGACTAGTACATAGCCAAAGCATGCACACTCTTTGAAGTTATATGCAGTTCAAGATAGTATGGAAAAATGAAATTGAAACTTGAAATAATCTAAACCGGAAACAATAAAAAATTGATGCTCTGTGCAAACCTAAAGGAATAGATTTGTGACCGTGGTAAAGGGAAGGCCAATTGTATTTTCATACGGAAAGGTTGGATGAGGGTTATAGAAATAGTTTTTGAGTTTGGTTGGAGAATCGAGTTTATCAATGGAGTGTATGTGTCATTTAACAATCAGGATTTCAAGCTTAAGAATTTTATGAAAAGGCATTAAAGGTGGCTTGTGCTGAGTGGAGATTGCATCGACGAATTCACCTGATCAAGCATCGGTACAGAAATTAGAAAATTAAATAAACAAACTGAAAGTATAGGGTGTGTTGGGTACTATCTCCCCAATCTAGATGATTACATAGGCCGTGGGTTTGGGCATCCTTGGAAGTTGAATCTGGGCATATTGTCTTCAATTTACTATTGTGGTGCTATATCAGCCTAAGGGCCCACCAAAAGAGAAACTGATTGGACTGCAGAGACTGGGCTGGAGAAAGTGGGCCAAGGTCCTTTTCTCTTTAGTCTCCGAAGATTTTCTATTTTGACACCTTATGATTTTAGTTTGACATGGTGTCCTTACATATTGTGTTGTTTCCAGGTTGGGCTTGAAGGGGAATGCCTGGGACTTGATAATATGAGTCTTGCGAACAGTTCTCTATGGACACAGGGGAATGCTGTACCGATCAATCAGAGTTTGACATGGTACAAGGTATGTGGATGCAGCTGGTTCCAGAACACATTCATCTTTTTGTTTCTTTTTTGTTTTGATACAAATTGGAGAGTTAATCTGGATCAGCTATGAAGCACAGATACTTTGTTGAGATCGGCGTATTCGTATTAGATACCGTATCAGCTATGATATTCGTCGGATATTTCAAGATACATATCAGATACAGCTTCTACGTATTCAATAATAATTAAATATTAGAATACTTCACGGATACTTTTGTGTTTAAGTAACATATATAATTTTTGAGTTGAATTTTTAACACCTCATTTCGAATTCACATACCATAGAATACATTAACAAAAATTTATACTACTTTAAAGGCACATGAGTGTTTTTAAGTTTTATCTACAATTACACTTCAAAAGCACATAAAATAAATCTATTACATTATAATCTTCGCAAAAATTATTTCTAAAGATTAGCTTTAATTTTTTTAATTAGTCACTTCATTTTGTGAAAATACCATAGTGATACAATATATATTTTCTTGAAACTAAAAAGAATTATTAATTTTCCTTATTGTGTGTTAAAGAACTACCAAAATATATAAGTATTTAGAGGGGTTGAGTGCTAGGTATTGAAGCACTGTATCTAGGTTGATGTGAATTCTAGATTAGCATTATCCAATGGCCTTCACTTCACTTGCTTATAGTCATCGTGCTTGAACACATATTTTTTTATATTTTCGTTTTTTTTTTTGGGGTGGGGGGTGGGGGGGGAAGGGTGTTTGGGAGGAAGAGAAGATTATATAGTGACTGCTCCTTGGTTTGGCATCTATTTGGTATCTGCAGGCTACATTCCAAGCTCCTGAAGGGAAGGGTCCCTTATCGCTGAATCTTGCTAGCATGGGGAAGGGTCAAGCATGGGTTAATGGGCAGAGTATAGGGCGATATTGGCCTGCATATCTCTCGCCATCAACTGGTTGCACTGATAAATGTGACTACAGGGGAACCTATGATGCATCTAAATGTCAAAAGAAGTGTGGTCAACCTGCTCAAACACTGTAAGTGAATGCAACACAGGCCATTCTATTCTGTTTCTCAGGTGCTGCATTAACATGCAGTTTATTTTCGTCAAACTTGTTTATTCAAGCACTTGAATAATATTTTCCTTCTTCTTAACTGGACTACAACTCGATGACATCATTGTTCTATTGTTTGATCTTCCAGTTGAAGGCGCGTACACAGATCTTGGTAACTTTGTTGCTTCCCATTACTGGGTTGGACGACTTGTCCCCTTTGATCGGTTTTATATCACTTTCATTTTTAGTATTATTAAAATTGTTGTTTCTTATCGCGGAAAAAAAAACTGTTCGCAGATTTTGGCAAGCACTCATCACAAAAAACGTGGGAGAAAAGGACTTGCTCTCTATTTTTGATGAAAAATTAAGTTCTCTTAGAAGCTGAAACTTTACTAGAGCATGTTCTATGTGGATATAATAACACTTCCTAAACCAGTATATGAGCCTTATGGCCCACTTCAGTCATTGCCAATTAGTTTTGAGTTGGATGCTTTGACAAACTTAATCTTAGCCAGCATAGGATAAACAGACCAGAGGCTTATCTTCAAATGCAAATAATGATGGATTCCATTGATTTCCTCATGGTTTGTCAATTTCTCCAAGTTCACATTTCATTTTTATCATTACTTACGTATGAGTAAGCATTTTTAGTGCTTAACTTTCCAAGTAGTGATCTTCAAAATACAATTTCTCATTACTTGTGCTAAGCTTTTGTATTTTACTGTTCATGTATGTACTTATGAAGAAATAAATCATGCCCAGGTATCATATACCACGCACTTGGGTACTTTCTGGTGAGAACCTACTTGTTCTCCACGAGGAGCTGGGTGGTGACCCTTCAAAGATTTCTATACTGACAAAAACTGGGCAAGAAATATGTGCACATGTATCCGAGGCCGATCCTCCACCTTGTGATTCTTGGAGACCACAATTGGGTTTCATGTCTCAAAGTCCTGAAGTTCGATTGGCCTGTGAACAAGAGTGGCACATTACTTCCATTCATTTTGCGAGCTTTGGAACTCCTAAAGGCAATTGTGGCACACTCAGTCCAGGCAGTTGCCATACCAATGTGCTATCCATCGTTCAGCAGGTAACATATATCTTTCATTGCTCAATTTCATGTGAAACAGCAGGCACATCCATATATGTGGTTTGACTTTTATTGCAAGCACATAATTTTTTTAATTTCAGTTTGGCTCAAAATCAACTTGTGCCTGGCTCCTAATAAGCTGAGTTCATAAGCAGTGTATTTGGCTTATAACTGCCCCGTCCTTGTACACATTTCCTCTATATTAAATGTCAACTAAAACCGTGATAAAATTAAAATGGAAATAAAATATAACGCGAACCATAGCGTGTGCAATTTTATTATCTAATGGGGATTGTTCATCATAGAGAGAGTTACCCAGTCCCTTCCCTAGTGAGATAACATCAACTAATAAAAAATAAAAAAGAAAAACGAGAAGAGAATCCCTATTGAAGTGGAAATATGAAAGTGACTACATGTAGAAAGGTTAGGTTTGAATTCAATAAATTTTTTACCTCTCCCACAGACTGACTATAAAGTTTGGGGGGATGAAAACATGATTAACCAATGCACGTTCAGCTTTGCATGGTGAACTTCAATCTGTAACTGCTGCTATCTTTTCAACTGGGAAATTGCAGCAGAACAAGAAGCATCTGTTTGTCCTTTGTTCTAAGGTTAACTCTTCCACTCCTACAAATTTGAAAAACAAAATGTCAAGGCTTCGAATAATTAGATCTTGGCTCAGAGCATGTATAGATTGATTTCTTCCAAACTGACACAACTACCTTTGCACACCTTCAAACATGCATAACATAGAGTGATCTGAAGGATACATACAACAACTATATCCACTCACCTTATTAATTATTACCTGCACCTACCACTTTCTAAATCATCATATATCTTCACCTTTTTGTGACACAAAAACCAAATCTACTTAGGCTCTACTATTGTTTTCTTTGTACACAATATGTTTCAAACCAGACTCTATATTCTTTCTGCAACTATCTTCCATACATTTCATGTCTATATCTAATCTCCACAACTTGGTAAAGTCACGTTTCTTCTGCCTCCTATAGCCTCCACATTGAGGTTTGTACAGAATCTTTGCTCCAGCTCACTGGGTCATATTTTGTGGGATCTTTTTTTACCGTTGCTAATGGAGTTTCTTCCAATACTTTATCTTCATCCTAGTGCACCAATAACGGGCAGAATACAAATGTCATTCGCTAGATGGGGCCTTCCAACCCCATCCTCTCACCGAATATGTGTGACTAAAACAATTACCAACACACATACTGATACCTTTCTACCTTAATTGTCATATATGAGACCCCATGATCAGAATGAAAGTGTTACCAATGGGCTGGATGAGAGAATTTTGCAATAATCATCTGTATGTATACCAAGGACGAATCCTTCTCCTCAAGGAAATCTTGAAAGTAGTATGATTCCATTTTGGGGGGTTTTGTATGAGATCACAGATGTTGCAAGCGCTTGAGATAGTGAAATAGTTCCAATGAATTTGTTCAACTGCAGTTAAACTGCTTTTTGGTCCTAGAGTTTTCATTGCATTTTGGTGGTACACGCTTTAAGGATACCACTTATGAGCCTGTAAAATATCTACTACATCTGCATCCTTGCATTTAAATTCCTGCATATGTCTGATCATTGGTTCATCAAAGGCATGGGGTTTTACGTCTTAATAATTTTGTTTTGGTAACATTACTTCCTATCATTGAAGGTTACATTTTGTGGTTATAGTAGTTAAGTCTAGGACAAGCTGATTACAGGAAATTCGTAAATGGGTTTTAGTATTAATTGATAGTAACTTGTTTGCTCTTTTCTTTGTACCTATGATTACATGATGCCCTGATTTATACCCCGGAGTACTCCTATGGCTGATCTGTCACCCAACCTATTTAAACAACCAAAAAGCTTGGCCCGTCCTGTTTGGAGAATGACCCTTTCCTCCTTTAAGTCCTAGATATTTTTTGCTTTGTGCTTTTCCTTACCATTTTTGACATTACGATTTTCTAGTGAGTTCCATTGTCTAATAGGCAACTTGTTCCTGACATGTTTGCGTGACACTGCAGGCATGCATTGGCAAGCAAGGATGTTCAATTCCAGTATCTACAGCTAACCTTGGAGACCCTTGTCCTGGAGTCTTGAAAAGCTTGGCAATTCAAGCTCTCTGTAGTGGGTGAAATTCCTCTCCTGCATTTTTGGTTGGAGGACTCGGATTGATCAGTTTGTGTTGGCTATTTCATGCTACTCTTCGAAGGGTTTCATGTCCTCTTCTACCAGTTATGGTGTGGTCCTTTAACCTCTATCTAGTGCTACTTGTAATTAGTGCAATATAGCTTATTGTTCTTAAAATGGGGTTTCCATATCCTTGCCTCCATTGTCTTTTGAATTGTTCAAATCCTACTGATAGTCCACTATACCTGGAACTATGAAATACTCGAGAGTAATGTTCTGTTTGGTATGATAGAAAAGAGGGAGGATGAAAAATTGGAAAGATAAATAAAACATCATGTTTGGTAGGGAAGGAAAGTAGGAAGGATGAAAAAGTGGATGGATTAACTTTCTTTCAAACTCACAAAAATCAATTCCTCCAAAATCGGAAGAAAAGTAAATGGAAAGTTAATTATTTGTGTTGAGATGTATCTTATTTGTCTATATATCTTTTTATATATACATATATTATGTATATATTAATTTCATATAAAAATATAATGTAAAATATATGTATATATATTAAAAAATTTTAAAAATAAAATTAAAAATTAAAAAAATTAAAAAAGTTAAAAAAATTAAAAATTAAAAATTTTATATTAAAAAAATATTTTTTCCATCTTAATTAAGGATGAAAATTTTCGACTCAACACGATAATACAATTTGAACTCGATACGAAAATAAAAAGGTTAATTCGTAACTCGAAACGATATAATTAGTTAAATAAGTTAAGTTAGATTTGACTAATATTCGACATAAATTCGTAATGACTTAACACGAATTTAATACGATATTATTTGATTGTCACTCTTAATCTTAGCTATGACAAAAAAAAAAATAGTTATTTTTATTTTTCATTCATCTAACCAAACACAAAGGAAGGAATGTGTATTTTTTTTACTTTTCATCTTTGAAGGATAAAAAACGTATCCCTCTTATTTTTCATCCTCCCAACGGAGCATAAATTCCAAGTAAAGCTTTGTTCCACCTATTTACGGTTGACTGCCCCTATGTCTCTGATTTATATCGGATATCTGAATTTGCTTAAAAAAAATTAGATCATAATCAAAATAGGTATTAGTATATTTAAATTCATATTCGTCAAATATTTCATAAAAAAATTGAATTTAGATAATCGACCATTTAAGATTTGGCTTTGATTCGGATCAACATCCCCACTCTTGACATGTCTAACTTCTTGAATCCCGTTCTAATTTTTTCCCCAAATTTTACATTAATTTTTTTAATTAGAACCACAACATTAAATTACTTATTAACAAAAAGTCTTATGGCATGATCCCCATTCTAATTTGTATAATAAAACAAGAAACTCCTCATTCAAACATAAATTGTAATGAATTTTTAATTACAAAAAAATATTTATTTATATTTTGATTTTTAAAATATAGTTAATCTATTATGTACACTTTAACCACCTACTTACATTTTAACCCAGAAGAAAAAGTACCCACCTGTTGTATTTTTTTTTCCTTTCGCAACTTGTGCAGACTATTTCCACGAGTTACTTGAGGGGTGTGAGAATTGATTGAATTCGAGACTTTTGAGTTACTGAATGTCAGACTCAATCACTGAACTTCTTACGTGTAATCACAAGTAACACTAGCATATAATAATATCACTAACTCGGAAGAACAGAGAGTTTAACAGATTATATATAAAACAGTCCAACAAGTGACTTCCTTTTGTTCTCAAGGTAATAGACATTAACAAAGAACATAATCTGTCCTTGATCACCTGCTTAACACAAGGTTCAAAATCACATCATCCTCTTCAGACATGACCAACCGGAGTGTCATGGAACAAGGAGTATCTTTCCAATATGGTTGCTACTTTCCATTAACCGGTGAGCCTCTGCTGCTTCAGCTAACGGAAGATACTTATAGACCACAGGTTTTACCTTGCCCGCCTGTATTGCCGCCCAAACGTTCTTCTCCACATCAGTTACAATCTCAGCTTTGTTCTCTGCACTTCTATTTCGCAATCCAGCCGCTGCATCCAAAGTCACGGTTATAAAAGTAGACAATACAGTGTGAAAGGGTACAGATTAAGCAGCCTGCAATAATTCTCCAACAGAAAAAATTAGAGGGATTACACCAAACAAAATGCTGATTATCCATATAAAAGACCAATTCTACAGTGAATTTTAATATAATGCAAGAAAAATCATCAGGTGTGTTTCGTCAAGGTGATTGGTTGATGTGGTGATATGCTGAGATGTAATGGGATCATTATACGCAGTCTCATAAATTTAACAATCCACTGACTGGCAGCCAAAAGAATACAAGAGAAACTAATGAGAAGCAATGTTAAGATGGATCCATAGGAAAGGAGATGTGGCCTAATTGATGCACAAATTTGGAATCATAACTTGTAGAGCCTAAATAAATTTGTTAAATGATCCTTCAGTGTTTAGTAATTATGATACATGAAATAAATGCTCTAGAAGAAAGAGAAACTCAGTTTCCAATTTAACTTTCCTATCGTCCCAAAACTGGGTTCTCGAAAGCAGATTATTCCTCGAGCTAGAGTAACAATGATACTATGGTTTTCCTCAAAATTATTGGATGGCCTCCTAATCTGCTAATCAATATCATCATCCTTCAACGGAAAATCAATACAGATCAAAAGCAACACAACATGGTTGTTGAATATTCTTTGGTGTCATTGTCCAATCTCTAAGGGCTATTGCACCTCCTGATACGAACAACCACCTATGAAGGTCAAGTTGTGCTCAAACCTGCATCGATATAATAAATGATACATCTCTACACGACTAGGAAGGAGGCCACTTCAAAGTTGCACATAGAAAGTATCCTTCATCTGGTAACACAATTGTCCTATTGCTTAATTGGGCGCAAGGATATTGCTATATTGTATCGGAGGCCATATAGAAACACTTTGGAAAAGTATAATTATACCAGCTATACTCCATAGCCCAATAAAATAAAAAAAAAAACTATTGGTAAAGGGCATCAGTACATACCCTGCACTGTGAGCCGTCTTGCAAGCAAACCTACAAGATTTGCTTCTGTAACCGTTCCACCCATAAAGCCAATAATGAAAAGCCTCCCACCAATATTTAGGCTGTCAAGATTCCGCTGAAAATATGCTGCCCCAATATTATCGAGAATAACATCAACACCTGTCGTTGAATAGTATGACCTTAGATTTTCCTAAAACGAACTAATGTGATACAACTGAAAACAAAAGCCAATGCCCTTCATGAATAAGATGATCTTGCAACGAGAGCAGCTATTTCAACAAAATCAAAATAATGAAATGAAATTATGATATTTGAGAGAATTGTGTAACCTTTCCCCCCTGTTTCTTCCTTCACTCGTGCAACAAAATCTTCAGTCTTGTAATTGATGCAAACATCGGCCCCAAGATCCTTGCAAGCAGCCAATTTTTCCTCATTTCCTGATAAACATTATTGTTATATGTCCACATGACAAGATGAGATTTAAATTGACATAGCGACTCAAATATGTTTGCTATTAAACCTGCAGTGACGAATACTTTGATTCCTAGGTATTTAGCCATCTGAATTGCAAATGTACCAATCCCGCTAGAGCCTCCATGTATCTGAAATTGCATTACTCCTCAATAGGTTTTTGTGGAACATCAAGTTATAGGAGTGGAAAGTTAAAGCGACATATTGAAGGGGAGAAGAATGCATTTAATATCAACAATTACAGCCAAACATCCCATATTTATACACATTATACCTTTACACTACTACCTCAGCAGTCAGCACCATATCTCTATAAGTTTTATTTCCAACTGAACATCTTCAAATAAATGTCTCAAGTTCTAAATTTATTCCCCAGCCATCTTTTGCAAATCAGAGGAAGAAATCAATTTTGTAACTCCAAGATCTGACATTTTCCGAGGATTTCAGAAAGTTACAAGACCCCTGGAGAGCCAGCTCAACTGCATAAAGTATGATGGATTTGCCTAATAAACATCCACCTATCTCTTTCAAATAACAAACATTGCACTAGCTAATGTAGGCACTAGACTAAGGTTGCACTTCAAGATTTGCTATTCATAAGAATTAAGAGGTGGAAAAACATGCTTCTGAAAGGTAGTTATAAGTTACCAAGAATGTTTCTCCAGTAGCTAGACGGCTCATCATAAACACGGTAGACCAAACAGTGCATGCCACCTCAGGGAAACTAGCGGCATCTTTCAGAGAAACACCAGGTGGAACAGGAAGAACTTGTCCAGCTGGTACTGCTACTTTCTCAGCATAACCTCCTCCACTAAGAAGAGCACATACCTGCATACCACAATAATTCAAATCCTCCACAGCCAGTTTACCTAATTTTTGTTCTAAATATTTTTTTACATAGCAGTGCACACAAGAAAAGAAGGGGAGGAAAAGTTAGAACTTAGAAGCCAGTAAGATAAAAGGAGGAGGTTTCCTGCTTTCTAGTTTCAAGTCTCTAATTGAGAGAGAGGATTTACAATACAATGTTGACACGTACTGTGAATTGCCTTAATTCTATCAGGTATAGCTTGTCAAAAATGGCTGATCCATTAAGAAGTTTGTATGGCGGCAACTGAGGATTGATTCATAACATCATATCATACACCAAGGGGAGAAAGATACAAAGAAATAAAAAACTAAAGACAGAAACAAACAGGAACTAGAAAATAGAGATGTGAAAGATTCTTAACTATATTATCAATTAAGCCACACAATTAACTTCACAAGAGAAAGACACAGGAGAGTTTCCAGTCTACTGAGCAAAAACTCCTTTTAGAATTGTTTAATTCAACTTAATTCAACGAAGCCTTTATCCCAACTATTCTAGGGTCACCTGAGCTGATAGTCTAGCGGTAAACCGTATCACGTGATTATCAAGTAGAGTTGGATTCACGGGACTAGTAAAGTTTACTTCACGGGAGTAGTGCAATGTACTGTTTGGATTTGGTGGTGCTGTGGTAACGGTCACCACCCTTCCGGGTTGGTAGCTATGGCTCAAACCGGAAATTCCACTGGGACCCTCATGGTCACACCAGGGGTTTACTACCTAATAGTCACTCCTTCACCCCTTTTACCTAGCCGAAAAAAAAAAACTATTCTAGGTCGGCTAAATGATTCTTTTCTCCATTGTGCTCAATAGTCGTATTTTCGGTTAAACCATGAACTACCATATCCTTTTAGAATTGTTTTGGCATCAATAAATGACCAATTATGAATAACTTCTTCTGATATTACAGAAAGAAGGAAAATGTCTCATTCTCTATTATAAAATCAAACACTTACCCCAGTAAACTTAATATACACAATCCAAAATTTCAATCACATCGTCTTTCTCTACCCTTATCTAAGCAACCAAACACAGATACACAGCATCAGAATTTACAATAATGTACTGCAGAACATCGAAAAACAATAGTTTTTTTCGGGAAAAAAAAAATTGGTTCCCAAGAAATAGTTAACTTTGTTTTAGATTAAAAAATCCATTCTTTGCAGAAAAAAGAGCACAAGAAATACTTCGCTATACACTTTTCAAATTTCCCCAGCAATGATTTTCCGCGGAATTTTGAATTACCTCGTCGCCGATTTTCCATCGAGTGACATTTTTACCGACGGCTTCGATGGTTCCGGAACATTCAAGACCTGGGTATGAACTAGCACCCTTGGGAGGTGGGTATGAGCCTTTGCGTTGAAGGGTATCGGCTCGATTAAGGGCGGTAGCCGCAACTCTGATCAACACTTCGTCGTCTCTGATTTCTGGGTCTGAGACTTCTTGAAGTTGCAGGACTTCTGGGCCGCCGGGGCTTGTGATCACTACGGCCTTCATGGTTAATGGTGGTGATGGGAAAGAGGTTGGTGATGAAGGGGGTGTAGGAGAGAGAAGGGGTTGGACAACTTAACACGACTGTGCTAGTGTCAACTGTATCAGCGCTACTGTTAAATATGCAATGTGCCACCCACCTCATTACATTGGGTTTACAAGTCGGGTCAGATGATCCACTCACGTCCAACCCAAATTATAAAATTTTTAACCCTAATTTAATTCAATCCCGACTTTTAAGCTACCATACTCGATTCGAGTACTGTCCGAATTAATTTGGGACTCAATTCAGGTTGTGTTCGAATTAACTAATTTGAACTCAAATTGAGTTCATAATTCAATTTGAATTAGGGTTCATGATTTAGATTCAATTTTAGGTATGAAAAAATAGTTCGACAATCAATAAAAATCTAAATATAATTAAATTTTGTGTGTGTATATATATTAACTTCAAGTTGAACCCGAATTGTGATTTCGGGTTAGATTCAAATTTAAACTTGTGAACTCGAAATCTCAACTCAAATATAATCTAAATTCAATTTAAATTGAGAATTTTTTAGTTCAAATCTAAGTATATTATTAAAACTGATTCGGACCGACAAGGTAAACCCAATGAACCGTTAAACAGGTGTTTTAGCTGGTCCGGTTCTAAAATCGAATCGTTTAAGTATTCCAACCACCCAGACCCAAAAAAAAAAAAAAATACTCCAACCACTGAAAAACCAATCAAACCGAACGAATTTTTACAAAACTGGTGCAAACCGGAAAGTTCATCTAATCCAAGCGGGTCACTTTATGGCGTGATTCTCATTCTAGTATATAATACATCAGCATGGGGAAGAACACAAATTCTAGCAGATTACAAACAAAATAGTCCAACAAAGATACTGCCTTTTGTTCTCAATGTACAATGCCTTATAAAAACAAGAATTATTGACTTCACAAATTTGAACAACCAAGGTAAGTTGTCTTTGATCACATCATCCTCTTCAGACATGACCAACTGGAATGTCATGGAACAAGGAGTATCTTTCCAATATGGTTGCTGCTTTCCATGAACCGGTGAGCCTCTGCTGCTTCGGCTAATGGAAGATACTTATAGATGACGGGTTTCACTTTGCCTGCCAATATTGTAGGCCAAACGTTCTTCTCCACATTATTTACAATCTCGGCTTTGTTTTCTGGACTTCTACTTCGCAATCCACCCGCTACATATAATGTCACAGTTTGATAAAAAAACAAGACAAGATAGTTTGAATATATACAGATTCAGCCCAAGGTTACAGTACACACGATGTTCATAATCCATATAAATGACCAAATCTATAATGAATCTCAACATAATGTCACAACTAAACATAGAATAAGGGGAGTATCCTCATTGTTGGTTTTTGCAGCAAAAAAGGTGATTATGTACTGGGATCCAAAAGGAATATAGGAAGCATAGATTAATTTAACAATTAGCTGTCAGTCCAAGGAATACAAGAGAAACTACTGAGAAGCAATCCTAGGATGGATCCATGGGGAAAGATACATGGCCTAATTGTTGCACAAAGTAAAGTTGGTGAATAACTTGTCGAGCACAATTATACTTACAAAGGTTCCATCAATGTCTACGACTTATGATGATGGTAATGCTCGAGGAAAGAGAATCTCAGTTTCCAAACATACCAAAACTAGGTTCTAGAAAACAGATTATTTCTCTAGCAAGAAACAAATACCACTGGTTTCCTTAAAGTTATTGGAATGCTCCTAAATGCATTAGTCAATATCTTTTCTTGTTACATGATGCATTAATCTATATCATCACCCCTGAACAGATAATCAATGAAGGTCAACAGAATCAATACCACATTTTTGCTGAGTATTTGTCGTTTTAATTGTTCAATCTGAAAGGGCTATTGTAACTTTTACCCATAAACTCAAAACCTATGAGGCAAGTTATCTCAAACTCCATTGACATCAAAGGTTCATATGTTTCTCCAAAATTAGGAGGACACTGAAATGTTCCACATGAGAGATGTACCCTTATGTGGTTACCCAATTGTCCTCCTGCTTAAGTTAGTTTAAGGTTATTGCTACATTGTATATGTGAACCAAAAAGAAACACCTTGGAAAAGTACAGTTGTATTAGTAATACTCCACAACCCAAGAACAAAAAGAAACCATGTATCGCTAAAGGGCATTAGAGCATACCCTGCACTGTGAGGTGTCTTGCAAGCAAACCTGTAAGATTTACCTCTGTAACCGTTCCACCCATAAAGCCAATAATGAAAAGCCTCCCACCAATATTTAGGCTGTCAAGATTTCTCTGGAAGTATGCTGCTCCAATATTATCTAGAATAACATCAACACGTGTCATTGAGTAGTCTGAGGTTAGATTTCCTTGATTTGAATTAATGTGATATGAAAGAAAAGGAAGGTTAATATCTTTTTAGAGAAGTAGCTGCAACAAGAGTAGCTATGTCAGCCAAAATTAAAATTGAGGATTGTGTGATCTTTCCCTCCTGTTTCTTCCTTCATTCGTGCAACAAAATCTTCTGTCTTGTAATTGATGCAGACATCGGCCCCGAGGTCCTTGCAAGCAGCCAATTTTTCCTCACTTCCTGATAAAGAAAAACTGTTATACAACTGCAAGATGAGATTTAAATTGGTGTCACAACACAAATATGCCAGCAGACAAGTTTTTGTTAGTAAACCTGCAGTGACAAACACTTTGATTCCTAGATATTTAGACATCTGAATTGCAAATGTACCAATTCCACTAGTGCCTCCATGTACCTGAAATTTCATTACTCAACAGTCAATAGCTTTTAGTGGAACATAGGGTGATAGGATTTGAAAATGAGAGTGACATGTCGAAGGGGAGAAGAAATCATTCATACTGAACAAGTACTGTGAAAAATTCCATATTTGATGAATAGATGTATATATATATATCTACACTATGTCAGCACCATAGTATTATCTAGTTTTATTTCCATTTGAACAATTTAACATAAATATATGAAGCTTTTAATTTATCCACAGTCCATCTTTTGAAAATCAGAGTCAGACAAGAACTTGGCAACTACATGATCACTATCTTACCATTTATGGGGATTTAAGAAAGTTTCAAGGCCACTGGAGAAGTATTCCAACCAAAATCTCACAAATAAGCATATAAAAAATGTCACACAATCACATTGCTAGTTATTAATGTGGTCTTCAAGTCAGTATAGAACAACTATCCACCACTCTTCCACAAATGTCAAACATACTAGCTAATGGTCGCATTTCAACATTTATCATGCATAGTGGTAGAAAATAACGCTTCTGGAAGATAGATAGATTCTTGGTTACCAGGAATGTCTCTCCTGCAGATAACTTGCTCATCAGAAAGACGGTTGACCAAACAGTGCATGCCACCTCAGGGAAACTAGCGGCATCTTTCAGAGAAACACCAGGTGGAACAGGAAGAACTTGTCCCACTGGTACAGCTACTTTCTCAGCATACCCTCCTCCACTGAGAAGAGCACACACCTGTGTACAACAATTTCTCAAATCACTACAAAGCCAGGTCATATAATTTCTGGTTCTGAACATTCTACAAACTAGTACCCAAAATAAAAGAAGTGGGGAAAAGTCTGAAGCCATTAAAATGCAAAAAAAGGACATTCCATGCTTATTCCCTATGTTTCAAGTCTCTATTCAGAGGGCTGATCGAACTTACAACATTGACAAAGACTGTGAATTGCCTTAACTCTCTCAGGCTTAGCTTGGCCAACTAGACAGTATAAACGTGAAAGTTTCTAAAACTACAGCAATGACAGAGCCATGATATGGCCTAGGGGGGCCATGGCCCCCACCACAACCCCTCAAGTTTTTAAAATTATGCTTTAGCCCTCTAAAATTATGTTTACCCTCCTCCAGTCTTCAAAATAAACTTATATCTCTAAAATGATGCTTTGATTTCATTTTACATGGCTCTCTATAGTTTTAAATTTATACTTTATAATATATAGATAAATGATAAAATTTAGTTCTACCCGAGTGATTATGAGATAAAAAAAAATTAGCCTAAATTATTGATAATTTGATAAATTGATCTCAAATTACTTTATATCAAATCATGGCAAGGTTTGAATTATTTTTTGAAATTTTATTAAAATAAATAATTCTATAACGTATTGTATAAAAGCTGATTTTAGTAAATTCAAAACAATTAAGAAATAATCAATGATAATTCACAGAAAAGAGAGTTCAAAAAATACTTCACCTTGTACTCTTCAAATTTCCCGAGAAATGAATTTACCTCGTCGCCGATTTTCCATCGAGTGACATTTTTGCCGACGGCTTCGATGGTTCCAGAACATTCGAGACCTGGGTATGGATTAGCACCCTTGGGAGGTGGGTATAAGCCTTTGCGTTGTTGGGTATCGGCTTGATTGAGAGCAGTGGCCACAACTTTGATCAAAACTTCGTCGTCTCTGACTTCTGGGTCTGAGACTTCTTGAAGACTTCTGGACCGCCTGGGCTTGTGATCACTACGGCCTTCATGATTGAAAGAGGTGGTCGTGGTGATCGAAACGAGGTTCATCAGGGGCGGAATTAGAAATATAATTTAGAGTGGGGCCTGAATGCAAAGTATAATTTATTTTGAATCGGCATATAATTGGTTTTTGTCTTTTGGCGGCGTTTGTAAACTTACATAAATTTACTGTCTTACGTCAAAATGTTTGAACATTTCTGTTATTACCCTGTTTTTAAAGATATTTTCAAAATGATATAGTATTTTATTACACAGTGATTTTAATTTTTATATAATCACAAAGGAATTATGTATTTTTATTTAAAAATATATAAAATATAAGAGAAAAAAGCCATTAAGGCTCTAGGTATTTTAGGGCAGGTAGATTCATGTCCGACTTAAATTGTGTCGTTAAAATTTATTCAACTTATATGTTAATCATTTATAGTTGTGTATAGTATCGTGTAAGCTATATTTCATTCGGTATCGACTCATCAATTAAATAAGTTTAAATTTTAAAATCAATTATCACACGAAATGGTTGGAACAATATGCATGTTTAATCTTTCTTAAATCATGTTTAGATTCTTCTATTATGTTCGTAACCCTCTTGAATATTTCACAAACCACTTGCTAGACAAAAAAAATTGAAACCATATAATTTTGAGCCTCATGCAGATCTGTCTTTCTGCACTAGTTCGTCTTATCAAAGTCACCATGTTGTGATACAGTACAGACTTGTAGTTTGGCCACTTGACACAATAGACCCCAAGAAGTCTTCAAATACCAAACTCAACCAAACATGATCTTAAATATGTTTGCTGGATCTCCACTCACTTGTAGACTGCAGATCAAAGAGAACCTGTTTTCAAAATCAACTAGACAATTCACTGATTAAAACCTATATAAAACACAAGAGCCTGAGCTAATCTATTGTATCCTTGTACTTTGCCTCATATTTCGAGTTTTCGAATTTTCTTCAACGTAAAATGGCGAAGCCATTAACCATTGAATTCGTCATGATTCTTATGCTCTTATATGCTTCCTTAATGGTGACAGAAGCAAAAACCAAACCAGTAAAACCGCAGAGTGTTACTTGATACAACCGTGGGAGCAAATGTTTTCTGAAATATGTGACATGCCCAATGGAATGTCCCAAGGTTCAACCTGCTGATCCAAATTCTAAAGGATGCTTTCTTGATTGTTACTCACCCAAATGCGACGCAGTTTGTAGAAGTAAGATTGTCTATCCCTAATTTATTCTATGTTTATCGATTCCAAGTGTGATAACTTTTGATCCAACATGTTAAAACAATACGAACCTAATATGCAATTAGCCAATTATGCTAAAAAAATAACACAATGTGATCGTAAAAATAATAAATGCGAGTCAAGTTAGTGTCAAACAGAATTCACTCAATTTTGACACAATAAACTAGTTTAAAAGGTATTAACTATATGAAGATAAAATATGTTCTTTTTTCATTTTTTTCTTCTATTTATGTACAATATATTGTATAAAGGTCTTTGTAGAATTACAAGATTGTTTTATTTGATAGAGTGCACTTCTAAAGTTAGTTTATGTGGAAAAAAAAAAAGTTAGTTTATGTGGATATATGGGTGGGGAGTTTAATTGAAAGAAGGGTTGTCTAAGTTTTATGTTTTTGGTTTACCGGTTATGCGAGTCAACCCAAATAAATATTATTAATTCTCATGTCAAATTAGTGTCAAGACATGCAATTAATTGAAGAATTGGATTAGAATAACTGATCAGTCTTCAACATACGAACGACATAACTCGGTTGCCGCCACCAATGGATTTTCGTTATTATTTTATGTTTTTATGTCTTCCTATTTTTGTTATCAATCAGTTTTTAGTCTAATGGTACTCCTTACCTTTTAAAAACCTTGTCAAAAAAAAATGTGATGAAAGTCTATATATGCATAGGGTATAAAACATTGGTTATCAACCATCCATAATAATTAAATTTTTTTTTATGTCTTCCTGTTTTGAGTTGATGACCCTAGCAGCTTGAAGTTCTAGTAATGGACAATGGCTTTTGGTCATGCTTCTTTTAGTTCTTGGGACTATTTATATAAGTTATTAACATTCAAATTGACGGAAGTCTGGTGCACTAAGTACGTTCTTTTATTAACATTCCAATTGAATCTTGTGTATCCAACAGCTCGGAAACCAAATTGCGATGGCCCTGGAGCAGCATGTTATGATCCTGGGTTCATAGGAGGAGATGGCATTGTCTTCTACTTCCATGGCAAGAGCAATGACCATTTCACCTTGGTATCCGACTATAATCTACAAATCAATGCCCGCTTCATTGGCCTTAGGCCCTCGGGTAGAACGCGAGACTATATACATGGATCCAAGCCTTAGGTCTCATGTTCGACTCTCACATGTTCACCCTCGAGGGAGAGAGAGAGAGAGAGAGAGAGAGAGAGAGAGAGAGAGGAGAGAGGGATGTCCCAATTGCCAGGGAAAAATCAATGGAGATCCGCAGGAAAAAAAATCAATGAAGATTGTAACAGAGAGGAAAAAATGAAAATGAAGTTGAGAGATTAGGCATTTGATGAGGTCATTTTCTGATGAGTTCGTCGGGGAGAGAGAGAGAGAGAAGTCAAGAGATTAGGGAAAAACTTTTTATTATTCTTAATTTAGGATTTGTGGCATTTAATTTAAACGTCGGAAATTAAGCATGAATTTTTTTTTTATTATTTTTATTAATAAAACGCCAATTTTAGTGACGTTTCGCCAGAAATTAAATACCAAATTTTCTCATATTTCTTGTATTGGAAAAAAATATTCAATGCTTAGCACGTACTACGTGGTAGTGTCT